GGTCCATGACTTCTGGCTGTTGGTCATCCATTGCAGCTCCCTGGAAGGCAGTGTGGCTGCGGTGGGGGGAGGAAAAGTGAGGATCCAGCATGCAACACGCCCAACACCATATCAGGGTCTGACACAAAGGGAGTCCCCCGACTTCCTGAGGAGCAGGGCTCATTCACAACTTCTTTCTTCAAATCCTTTATCACAACCCAGGCTGCTCCTTGCCCACCTCTCACCAGCCTTACTACACACTTGCTTGAGAAAAAAATAAAATAAAAAAATAACCAGAGAGGGACTTCCAATCTTCCCACCGATGAATCCACAAGCCTTCCTGGAAGCTGTACCTTACTTCTGCCTTCCTTCCTGCTGAGGATGTAGTAACTCTCAGCCCACTCCCGCCATCTGGGGGAAGACGCCTCCCTCGACCCCCTTCATCGCAAAGCTTCCTGAAGGAGTGTGTGCTTTCCGACCCCCATGACCAGGCCCCTGCCTGCCTCTCTGATCTCATCTCCCAGCACGCTCCCCTTCCGAGGCTCGGGCTACCCTGGCTGCGGCTGCCCTTCTAACACTCCCCAGTTCACCTAACTGTTGGTTCCCTCTACTGGGAACACGGCTGTGCCATCACTGCAGACCTCAACTTGAAAACCTCCTCGGGGATGTTTTCCCAGACCCCTCAACGACCGCTCGCCAAACTCTGCCATCCTCTTAATTCTCATGGCACTCATTAGGTCTGATACCTTTCCTTGTGCATTTGTTTCCTCTAGTTCTTTTGGTTCTCAACCTTCTGGCCCTTTAAATACAGTTCATGTTGTGACCCAACCATAAAATTATTTTTGTTGCTACTTCATAACTGTAATGTTGCTACTGTTATGAATCGTCATGTAAATATCTGATATGCAGGATGGTCTTAGGCGACCCCTGTGAAAGGGTCGTTCGACCGCCAAAGGGTCGCGACCCACAGGTTGAGAGCCGCTGCTCTAGTTAAATACAAACATCCTCAGGCCGAAACCGGTTTGGCTCAGAGGATAGAGCGTCGGGCTGCGGACTGAAGGGTCCCAGGTTCGATTCCAGTCAAGGGCATGTACCTGGGTTGCGGGCACATCCCCGGTAGGAGATGTGCAGGAGGCAGCTGATCGATGTTTCTCTCTCATCGATGTTTCTAACTCTCTATCCCTCTCCCTTCCTCTCTGTAAAAAAAATCAATAAAATATATTAAAAAAAAAAAACAAAAAACATCCTCAGGACAGGGAAGTTATCTTGTTCATCATAGTATTCGCATAACGCCTTGCACCTGGTCGAGCTCACTGGCAACTAAATGAATTGTCTGGAGTAAGATGCTTACTTCATTACAGGTTAATCTTCAGGTACAGATTTTAGCAAAAATCGTGCAACTAAGAGGCTGGCAAAGGACCACCTGCCAGAACTCCCCAAACTGATGGGGGAGAACCACGTGCCTGCAAGGAGCAAGGCAAGGGGGGTGGCGAAGGAGTGACCAGTGGGAACTGGGGGAGAAGTACCAGGGTCCCTCTCATCAGTGATCACAAAAACTTTTGAGACTTTTATGGAAGGGAGCTCATAAGTAAAAATCTCTAGATTTGCCCTAGCCGGTTTGGTTCAGTGGATAGAGCGTCAGCTGAGGACTGAAAGGTCCCGGGGTCGATTCTGGTCAGGGCACCTGCAGGAAGCAACCAATCGATGTTTCTCTCTTTCTCTGTCTCTCCTGCTCTCGAAAAATCAATGGAAAAATATCCTCGGGTGATGATCAACAAAATATTAAAAAATAGTAGTAGTAGTCTACATAGTAAGAGCTTAACAAATGCTTCTGTTTGTATGATAGTTCCATTTTATTTGTTCTATATTATTCTAGAGTGAGCACTCTGGTTGTGAGTGGATGAGACTTTTGTGGTACTGCCCCATTAATGCTGGTTCACCCCCTCCAGGGAACTCAGTTCAGTAAACATGCCAGCGGGGCTGCCCTGAGATGGTGGGCCCAAGGTGTCAGTCCCACTGGGCAGCAACTAAATTCTCAATGCTTCTTAAAAACAGCAGGTACAACCCAGCTGGCGTGGCTCAGTGGTTGAGCATCGAGCTATGAACCAGGAGGTCCCGGTTCAATTCCCGGTCAGGGCACATGCCCGGGGTTATGGGCTGGATCCTCAGTGTGGACATGCAGGAGGCAGCTGATCAATGATTCTCTTATCATTGATGTTTCTGTCTCCCTCCCCCTTCTCCACACAGAAGTCAATAATAAAAAATATACATATAAAAAAAAAGCAGCCTGACCGGTTTGGCTCAGTGGATAGAGCATCGGCCTGCGGACTGAAGGGTCCCGGGTTCGATTCCGGTCAAGGGCATGTACCTTGGTTGCGGGCACATCCCCAGTGGGGAGTGTGCAGGAGGCAGCTGATCGATGTTTCTCTCTCATCGATGTTTCTAACTCTCTATCCCTCTCCCTTCCTCTCTGTAAAAAAATCAATAAAATATATTTAAAAAAAAAAAAGCAGGCGCAGTTGTCCTGGGAAACCTTTTGGGAGTGGGTACTTCCTACGGGCATGTGCATTAGGAGGCCAGGATACTAAAATTGTCAGAAGCTGAACCAAACCTTCCAGAGGTTGAGGAGGAAGGATGTTTACACAGGCAGTCCCAGGGGGGAGGCGATGGACTCAGGGCTACATGGGCAGGTCAGACGACTACCCTAACAATGGCTGCTGCTCACAGGTCCAATGCTTTCAGTGGCTCAATCCTTTAATCCTCTCAAAAAGCCAAGATAGGTATCATCACCAGCTGAGGGAACTAAAGTTACCGGCATTAAGTCAGCCAAGCTCAGAAAGCTCTCTCTAGGGCAGTGATGGCGAACCTATGACACACGTGTCAGAGGTGACACGCGAACTCACTTTTTGGTTGATTTTTCTTTGTTAAATGGCATTTAAATATATAAAATAAATATCAAAAAACTTCTATATGTGACACGGCACCAGAGTTAAGTTAGGGTTTTTCAAAATGCTGACACGCCGAGCTCAAAAGGTTCGCCATCACTGCTCTAGGGGGAGGGCCAGGGACTACTAGACTCCACGCAAGATCTAAAATTTAAATAGAGTCTAAATAATTGTGCTCCCAAGGCTTCATCCAGCGTCTGGTGTAAAAAAATTTGAATCTGGAAGACACACATTGTACTACTTAGCAAGACCACTGCCAGTTAGGCTCCTAAGAAAATGGTTGTTTGGGCGCAGCAGGAGTCTTGCACAAAAATTCATGTCAGTGTTGTTCCTAATGGCAGATGACAAGGAACATTACTACCCACCAGTAGGAAATGGCTAAATTACTATTTTTGTTAATCCTCACCCAAGGATATTTTCCCAATGACTTCTAGAGAGTGGAAGGGAGGGCGTGAGACAGAGAAACATTGACTGATTGCCTCCTGCATGCGCCTGCCTGGACCTGGAACCTGCAACCAAGGTAGGTGCCCTTGATGGGAATTGAACCCGAGACCCTTCAGTCCTCGGGTCGAAACTCTATCCACTGAGCAAAACCGGCTAGGGCTATTATTATTATTTTCTAATCTTTACCTGAGGATATGTGGTGTTTTTTAAAATTGATTTTAGAGAAAGAGGAAGGGAGAAACATCGATGTGAGAGAAACATGGATTCACTGCCTCCCGTGAGTACCGACAGTAGGTATGTGCCCTGACTGGGAATTGAACTTACAACCTTTTGCTGTATGGGACTAAGCTCCAATTAACTGAACCACTGGGCCAGGGCAGGAATGGCTAGTTAAATGTGTTATACTCACTCACAAGACAAACTCAGTACAGAGTTTATGAAAATGAATTTTCTGTATGTGTAACTTGATATAACTCAGAAACATGTTGAGTGAAAAATACAATTTGCTAGAAAATAGCAAAACACGGTAATGTAAGTAGTTTATGCACATTAAAAATACAAAACAACTATTTATTGCTTAAAATCATATGTATGTTAAAAATCTGAAAGACAGGCAAAAAGAATAAATTCACAAAACTATGATAATGTCTCAGAGAGGGGATATGTTTGCTCATGGGGCTGGGAATTTTAGCTTTATTAACAAAGAAAAATGAAATAAAGAGCTTACCCATACATTAGTTGTGCAATTAAAATATGGATACAAAAAAGACAAAATAATTATTTGGTGGAAATGAGTGTTGTTATTCTCGTACTTGTCTGCATTTTTCCAAAATAAGAAAATCTAAAAAAAGAAAAAATAACCTCTTTCCCAGATTCACTTTGGGGCCTTGGTCGAAAATCATTTGACTACACTTATGTGTCTTTCCCTGAGCTGGACTCGGTTCGCTGGTTATCCTCTTGTAGCTTTAATCTTTAACTTTGTACTACTCTTTCATTTTGGAATCCGCTTGTGAATTTCTACAAAAAGCCTGCTAGGATATATACATACATATATATGTTTTTGTTAATGTCAGAAAGAGGAAGGGAAACATCAATAATGAAATACGTAGAATCATTGATTGGCTGCCTCCTGCACGCCCCCTACTGAGGATTGAGCCAGAAACCCGGGCATGTGCTCTGACCGGAAATCGAACCCATGATCTCCTGGTTTATAGGTCGATGCTGAACCACAGCGACCAGGCATCAGCAATATTTTGCAGTTTATAATACAGAGCTTTTGTCCATCACTTGTTAAATTACTCCTGAATAT